GGCTTAGTGTGCCCATTGAATCTCAGGAAATCTCTGTTTTCAACAGGAGCTGTAGATAACATCGATCATAATCCTACCTCCCGCACAGCCAAAGATTCGTTTCACGGTACAGCAATCTCCATCACACAACACCCAACAACAACCAATGAAGGCATCATGAGAGAAATGGCTGTCTTGAATGCTGATGCTTCCAAGTCTCGTGTTATCTCTAGTTTACCTGAATCTTACACCACCATAATATAATTCCAGTAGAAAGCTATAAAAAGAAAGATGTATTTGTACCGGAGGGAAAAGGAAAATGCAAACCTATTTGTAGCCTCACTAAGCAAAGTATGAAAGACGAACAACAATGGCTGGACAAAGTTGAAGGCCTTCTCCAAAAAGAGGTGCTGGATAAGACCGATAACCCATCATGGGCTGGCCATTTTGCATCACAGCAGTCGACTGTTTTAAAGCCAGACGCAATCACATCAATCCTCCCCCTTTTGGATGAAAATGCGCACACAACTGCAATGATAAAGGTGTGTAGTTTTCTCGTAATTTGATAAGCTTCCTGCACATATTATTGCTATTATTACCATTATCATTGCTGTTATTATAATTATTGCTGTAATTATTATCATAATCATCATCTTTATCATTATCAGTATCATATTGTAAACATTATTATTATTACATTCAGCACTCCATGAAAATTGTGAAAGATACAACAGCATTCTTAAACCCTGGACAAACACCTGTTATCTGCATGGACCAACCTCTATATGCACTGGCCAAACAAATCCAGTGGGAAAACTCCAAAGACTATGGAGAGAATAAGTTTCTTGTGTTGATGGGGGCACTCCATATAGAGATGGCTGCTCTGAAAATGGTTGGACACTGGCTTAAAAACAGTGGATGGGATAGGTAAGTTATTTTCAAAATTTGCCTCAGGGCAAGGAGTGGCCATAGAGCTGGGCTCCAATCATGGTCCCTTTAAATAGAATGCGTATAAATAAGTCTTTCGGAAGTGTGCTGTTATTACTTCAAAAAATTTTCAAAAGAACCAATAATTTACAATATAATTTTAAGTTCTTTACGATGTTGTTGCGGATATGCCTCATTTGAAATATAAATTAATAACATTGACTTTCTTCTTTGGGTAGTGCTATTGTACAGGCTGATGTTACTACAAGTGGGAGAGCTGATGCAATTTTAAAAGCTTCGCATATTAYACGTTCTCGGTATGTGCATCAAGTAAGTGCATGCGCCCTTAATGCACTACAAAGAAGAGCTTACAATGAGTCCATGAGGAAAGCAGCTGAAGAGGAAAGACAGGATTACACGTCTTGGGTGCAACATAGATCTGAAACACACCCACAGTTGGAATTTGTTAGATCAATCCGCGAAGGAAAGTTTTCTCTCTATGTCCAAATCCTTTCACAACTTATTCCTTGGATGTTTGCACTTGATTTAACCAACTATTCTAGATGGTTGCCAATCCACATCAAAGATCTTGCTCAGCTTCAAGACATCCACCCTTCTATCTACAACAACTTTAAAGATGGATGCTTTGCCGTGCAAAAGACACAACGCCACTTTTCAATGATAGCTTTGGATCATAATCATGAGCAAATGAATGAGGTTATAAAGGGAGATGGAGGAGCAGTGGGCTTAACAGAAAGTCCAACCGCTCTCAAACGCTGGATGTTGGCAGGACCAGAGATTGCTCGCCTGGTTAAAGAATTTGAATGTTGTTTTCAGGAAAAGTCCCAGGACAAGATGCATCATGATCAGAAGCCATCAGTGCAAAAATCCTTTGTGAAGGACGTTAACTCGTTGGTGAGTGTCATCGAAGATCTTGGAAATCCCTTCTGTGAAGATAGCTCTGACCTGTTGGTTTTAGATACAAAGGAAATGATGCCAGAATTTGTTATCAAAGATGTCAAAGAAGCAAAGATGAAAGGACAGTCACAGTACGACGAGTATGTAAAGGAGAGACTTGAAGACAGGAAAACGCCCATTTCTGATACAATTAAACAGACAAGCCTTTTCCTTTTTGGTTCCCATGAAAAACGCAGTAGTAAAGTAAAAAGTGAATTAGCAAGTCTCAAGAGTGACAACAGGTTGTTCGCTGGACTGTATATTGCCTGCCAATCTAGACAAGGTAATCTCGAAGATTTCTTCCAACATGAAAATAGCTCTTGCCCACCATCACTCTCCGTTGAAGGAAAGTTGCGCACAGGCCAGAAATCCGACTTGCTTGACTGTCTTGCTAAAGAATCAGACAAGCAGAGTCCTGTTGTAGATGCTAAAGTCTTGGATGCTGCCGCAGTTATCAATATGCTTGCACCTGGAAAATGCAAAACATTTCTTGATTACAAGACAACTGTTTTCCTACCTTATGTGATAGCACAGGCAAATGATGTTAAGAGAGTGGACTTGGTGTGGGATTGTTATTGGGATAATAGCTTGAAGAAAGGTAAGAGTTTGCATTTACGTGCGAATGTTGTTTCAATAAAAGTTTTGAAAAATAATATTGATTTCAGGTACGCGTGATGTGAGAGGAGCTGGTGTGCGGAGCCGTGTGTGTGATCAAGGGATTATTCCATCAAAATGGAAAGATTTTCTGCGTTCTGATGAGAATAAGAAGCAGCTCTTTACATATCTTGGCGAAAGACACCCGACTGTTTGTACACGTCAAGCACGCCGTGTCTCAAGGTTTCAAGAAGATGTGCATCAGAACTGTAGACACAGACGTCGTTATCCTCGCTATAACAACCTTGCATCTCCTACAAGTGGAACAGCTATGGATATCTTTGGGAGTGGGAAAGTACCATCGATACCTAGACATCAACAGTATTGCTAGTAAGCTTACTAGTGAACAGCGTCAAGCCCTGCCGTTCTTTCACTCTTTCACAGGATGTGACACCACTTCATACTTCTGTGGAAGAGGGAAGAAAACGGCATTCCAAGCATGGACGAACTACCCTGAGGTAACGCAAGTGTTTCAAAGTCTTTCCAAACCCCAGAACACGATCTCAGATGATCAACAGCAGCTGCTAGAGAGATTTGTAATCATTATGTACAGCAGAACATCGACGCAAACAAGAGTTAACCAGGCACGCCAATCTTTGTTCGCACAGGGAAGAAGCATAGAATGTGTACCACCAACGCAAGCTGCCCTTGTGGAGCATTCTAAAAGAGCTGCATATCAAGCTGGGCACGTGTGGGGCAGAACCCTTGATGTTAAGCAAGACCTTCCCAGCCCATCTGACTGGGGATGGCAGTTGGTTGATTCCACATGGAAGCCAAAATGGACACAGCTACCAGAAGCATCTAAAGTATGCAAAGAACTTATCAAGTGTGGTTGCAAGCGTGCGTGCCGTGGCTTGTGCAAGTGCACTAAAGCCAACCTCCCGTGCACTGCACTTTGTGGATGTGCAGGCACTTGTTATCAAGACTAACTTAATTTATTGTGATATAACTGTTATAGAGAACATAAAGTTTACAGCATTAAGTCTAGAACATTTTAAGCATTTTAAGTATAGAGCATAAAGTAGTGTTCTAAAACAGTTCCAGAACAAACTTTTAAGAAAAAAGAGTGATTAGATTAAAAATTAGATTTTTCCGAAAATTTGGGCTCCCTGTGGCAATTGAAATGCAGTAATGAAATAGTTTGATATGAGGAAATCATGTATCCAATTGTTTTATCTTTTATCTCAGTGAAATAGGATACTTTCTATCATTGATATGAACAAAACTTTGATATGTCTCATTTTTTCATGAATTGGGCTTCCTGTGGATTCCTGTACTTTTGATAGGGAAAAAATGTTCCTCAAAATATTGAAAGCGAAGACAGATCTTGCTGGGGTCTTACTTTTATTTTGTTTCCTATCCTAAAAGAATGCTGCATGCCAAATTTGGTGCTTCTATCACTAATTTGAACAATTTTAGCCTTAACATCCGGACTATAACAGCTATGAGTTCTTTTCATTTATGGGCTTGATTTTCTTGTGTCTTGAAATTCGATTCCTGAATTTTATGCAAATTAGCTAAAACGTAAACATTGGCGCCCACCTATTCTATCATCATTGTTGAATAGTGCTATATCGTCAGCGTACTTGTCTTTTGATTTTAGACGTCGCAGATCGAATAAATCACCTTATTATATGGCTTAGATAGTACGCGCGCTCTGCTTGGCTGATTGGCTTCCGTGAGAGGGCCGTAATTAATTTCACTGTAACGACCACGGGCATTATATTGTATTRGCCGTTTATTTGATGCAAACACTGTAAATCCCTGTAAATATTTTTTTCGTTATCTTTTTAAATAATCTTAATATTTTTTTTCTTTATCTTTTTAAATAATCTTTATTTTCTTATTTATGTCTTTATTTTTTGCGTATCAATAAAATCGTTTTTCATAGCTGAGCCCACAAAATTTAYGGCCAGCTTCTAACCCACAATACCCTTGCACAGCCTTTTATTTTACATTCAACACCACGAGGTCTTGTGTGTGGAGTGTTTGGTCAACAATGCAAAGACCTCTAAAAGACTTTTTTCAGGCAAAAAGGGGAGCAATTCATTTGAATTGTGCTAACGAAACATCGACATTAATTTATTAACTTAAGTACTATTCGTCTTAAATACTTTAGCATTGTGCACTAACCTAAGGCATCTTGATTTAGCTTACAACACCTCAATTACCAATATACGTTTTATTCAKGGAATGAAGAACTTGAAAAGTCTAATACTAACTAGCTGTACTAGTATAGATATACCAAGTACAATTCACACTTTAAAATACAACGGATACCATCTTAASACTTTGGACATTTCTAATTGTTCCCAGTTTTCTAAGGAGGATATAATTTCAGATAAGGTACAGATAAGGAATCAAACTTTGCGCAGCTTCTTAGAGTCATATCCAAAAACGATCCTATCCTTTCCAAGTGGCTTAATGAAGAGAAGCGTCATAAATATACATCTTACGATATTCAGAACGAAATTATCAATCTCATGKCTGAGAAAATCATGAAAAACCTAGCTTCAGATATCAAAAATTGCCCATTTTTTTCTGTTATTGCTGACGAATATACTGATGCTGCTAACAAGGAACAATTAACTATCTGCATCAGGTGTATAAGCGATACTCTAGATGTACATGAAGACTTCGTAGGCTTCATCCAGTTGCCTAACATTGCTGCTGAAACAATATTTTCCGCGATACTGGCACATCTTCAAAAGTTGAAACTGTCCCTTGTTAACTGCCGCGGACAATGTTTTGATKGCGCAAGCAATATGCTTGGTAGTAAGACTGGAGTGGCACGGAGAATTCAAAACGTACAACCCAAAGCACATGTTACACACTGCCATGGRCATTCTTTAAGTCTTGGCGTCAAGGATGCCACCAAAAACAGCAAGCTACTATCCGGCACACTGGACACTGCAAAAGAGATTGCCACATTGATTAAATACCCACCAAAACGTGAGCACCTTCTYTGTCAGCTAAAAGAAAACAATTCCTTAGAAAATGAGGAACCTATGRATCAAGGAATACTGTCAGTTTGTCCTACGAGATGAACGGTTCGTGCACAATGTTTTCGCCGTATTCTAAAAAACTACGATGCCTTACTTCAGGCGTGGGAGGTGTCCCTGGDAGGGATCCTACAGTCAGAGGTGCGAGGACGGATAATCGGTTGCCTGTCACAGATGGGGACGTTTGMTTTTTTTTGGTCTTTGTCTCGGAGAGAGGCTGTTTTGTCATACTRACAACTTATCACAAACACTGCAAAAAACAAAGATGTCAGCAGTCAGTGGTCAAAGAGTGGCAAAGTTGACGGTTGACATTCTACAACAAATGAGAACCGACGAAGGGTTCAAATCGTYTTATGCAGTTGTGATCGTTGTGATCCATAAAGGACAATCTCCACCCATCTCAGAACCGACTCTACCACGAAAGCGGCGTGTTCCAGTCAGATTTGAAGTAGGAAGTGGAGCACCAACCTATCCTACTTCTCCTGAGGATTATTACAGGAGAATTTACTTTGAAGCCCTCGATTTGATAGTTAACGCTATAAAAGAACGTTTCAATCAAYCACGTTTTCAGACATATATGAATATGGAGAGTCTGTTGCTTAAAGCTGCAAAGAAAAATGACTATTCAAGTGAGCTAAAACGTTTTGAAAGTTACAAAGATGATGTAGATATTGGAGTTTTAAGGGGCAAGTTAGAAATACTTCAAGCTATACTGAAAGAGAGTGACCACCGTGTTGTATGTTTTGATGACATCTGGAAAAATGTCAAAGAATTGGAAACAGCGGCTGATCTCCCGTGTAATAAGCACAGCTGACGTCACGATTCATGCATATTTAAGATAAAAATTAATAAAACTTTTAATATTGATTCATGTGTGTACATTAAACGTTACTCCTGGTTCTTGTGGTTCTTGTGGTTCTCGTGGTTCTCGTGGTTCTACTGGTTCTTGTGGTTCTCGTGGTTCTCCTGGTTCTGTGGTTCTCGTGGTTATTGTGGTTCTCCTGGTTCTACTGGTTCTCGTGGTTCTTGTGGTTCTTCTGGCTCTTCTGGTTCTCGTAGTTCTGGTGATTCATATTTGGGCTTCCTGTGGTGATTGATTTACGGTTGGGCTGCCTATGGTGTATTGCCAATATTCCCGCGCATTTCGAAGCCTTTTYGACCTCTTAGCTGATATGGAGGGTGAAATTGAATTGCGATCTATTGATGATCTGCAAAGGAAACTTGGCGAGGTWGTTTTGCCYTTCAATTAAGTTGTTCCTGAAGAGATAGGCGAATGTCTACGAATTCATGCCAAAAGCCATGGAACCACCGAAGAGATGCTTCTGATGAGMTCACTTGCTTGCACCAGTTCATTGCTTGGCAAGACAACTGTAGAAGTCTTCAACACTTTTTCCGAAATCGGAAACCTTTATTTGCTAGTCGTGGCTCCTTCTGGGTCTGGAAAATCTCCAGCCTGTCATCTTGGCTGCATCGACCCTATAGTTGGACATATCGAGCCAAAGGTCAACAAAAGCATCTTGCTGGATGTGGCATCAGCAAACGGCCTATTTAACCACTTCGTTTCCTCGTCAACAGTACCTATTCTCTGCATAGACGAAGCACATTCATTTCTCCATAAACTGTCCAGTGAGGCCAAATTGTCAGCCGCTCCATCTATGGAGCAACTATGCAAGTGCTTCGACGTYGACTGCTGGTATGTTTTGAAAGGAGACAAGGGTAAGAGGACAGGCGTTTCGTCAGCTCGAGCTTCCCTACTAGCGTTCACTACTCCCAGGCAGTTCCTGGAAAAAGCTTGGCCGAAGATCTTACAATCAGAAAATGGTCTAGCTGAGAGAGTGTTATTTTCACATTGAGTTCACATTGAGTGCTTCGGCTCGTGAGGCATTCTTTAAGTTTGCCAAGCCGCAGGAAAATATTGATCCCACACAAAATGGGAATCAAGTCGCAGCAAACATATCCAAGTGCCAAAACTCAAAGCGGACTAATCATGTACTGAGAGTGGCATTAAACATGCATATCCTGTATGAAAGAGTACATAAAGCTTTACATTGCCCTCAGAACCATTAGCATGGTCATAACATTTGTTGAAAGTTTGGAGACCTTCAAGGCATTTCCGAAATTGTAAGTATTACAATTATGTCTTAATAAGCTTAAATTCAACAAGAAATAACAACAAAATTTCAATTAAAATGCTTAATCAATGATAAAATAAACTAGAGTGCACGTCACATAAGCATGAAACAATTCTTAACTAATTAGCGCCTAATAAGATTTAGTTATCAACTAACTAAGAATTTGTGAGGCATAAACAAAGACAAGTTTCCTTTCTGGCATTGTGTTCATGCCCCAGTGAATTCTTAGTTAGTTGATAAMTAAATCTTATTAGGCGCTAATTAGTTAAGAATTGTTTCATGTTTATGTGACGTGCACTCTACAGTAAATAGTATATAGAAACAGTGGATTATGAAAGCACCATTCTGTAATTTTGCTTCAACTGTTCAATTTCAGCCTCGAGAACTCTAAAARTAGTGGTTCTCATTATGTGAGTTGTACTAAACCAAAATTCGAAATTAATTTTTACTCTCCTTTCTCTTTTCTTAGTGTTKCCATTTAAAACCTTCAGAAACAGCAGTCAGGCTGGGAATTAGCAATACTGATATCCAAAAGAGGCTTCTTGAAATTTCTGGTCCATATACAACAGTCAAAAGAGTGTACACAAGTTTCACCTCACGGAACAGACCCACAGCATTAGCAGTAAAGAGTTACATGGAAGATTTACAAAAGCAAGGTCTGGGTAGTTACAAATGCATAAATAAGGTTCAACTACMAACATCAGAGAAATTTTATTGGATAACCACCCAAATCAAACTCAGCCTTATTAAGTCCATCTCTTTAATTAATACAGGTATATTTAGTACAATGGCTCAGTGGTTAGACACTTAGATGCACAAGATAACAATGTGACTTTTAAACTAAGTAAGGCACAGAAACAAATTTTATAAATGGTTCAAATTAAGTATGGTTGCAGATAATATATGTCTATTTTACAAGGGACAAATTTATATGTAAGTGYAAATGTGTTTTCATTACTTAGCAGTGCAAAAATAACCAGTAATGTTAGTAAATCACTAGCTATAATATTGGCATTTCAGAATCTTGAACCTTGTTTTTTGTTAAAGAAAAGTTTCAAATTTAAATAGGTGAAATTACATGTATGTGATGAGGTGGCATGTATCATAAGGACATCACATGCTGTTACTGTTACTGTTTATGTATATTGTTACTGTTATATGTTAATTTATACAAATGATTGTTTCACTAATGTCACAGGTTGAAAGGGACGTTGTTGAACATTAAGAAGAATTCCATCGTGGGAATTACGTATTAATCAAATTTGGATATGACAGCGGGGTGTGGAGAGAGTGTGTAATCGAGMGATCGTTGGAGTAACGTGTTGAAGATTTACCTGTATGATTTGGAAGCAAAGACGTTAGGAAGGAAGAACTGAAGAACTAGTGCTGAGAAAGTAAAGTTCGGTGTGAGAATAACCACGTAGGAGCAAATTGTAGGCCGGATTGCATTACCAGAGCACGGTGAAACAACTGCAAAGACCTCTGCAGCGTGGGCCGAAGGACTATAGCTCTAGTTGGGACGTTGAGTACAAGTTGGGACGTTGAGTACAAGTTGGGACGTATCTTCAAAATCTACTGAATTMGACACGTGTATGATGAGTCTACGAAACGACGCGAATGATTGAAATTACGATACGAACTGCCGGTTATAAGGTGCACCCGAGAGTGTGTGACCATGTGGAGTGATAATTAGAAATTAAGTTCAAGGCTCGTATAGTGTTTCTTAAAGTGAGAGAGATATTTATAACTTTAGTCGTATATGTGTGTATTTTGTAGTAGCAGAAATTAGAAATATAGTTGTACAATCTTTATAGTTGGACTGAGCTTTGAAACAACGAACGCCGAGTAGCCCAGGGGAGGACAATACCACAACATTTTCCAAGAACATCGTGACAACTAATTATTATTCGAGATATTTAAATATATTTTTACCTATAAAAACAATATTGAGACAATGATTCAAGAGGAATTTTTCATTTAGACATATTGTTTAAATAATAGYGGTTTTCATAAATCTTTGAAGCAAAGTGCCCTAGTGAAAGTGTAATATAGTCAATAAATATTATAGAAAATAAAAGAGTCTAACTTTAATACTCTAAAGTGTATTTTAGAGGTTTATGGAAACCACTAAATTATATCAGTTGAAGTATATTTGATTTACAGTASAATTATTATGTAAATACAATTTGTAAATTAAAATATTTTGAATAAGGACATACAGTTTTTAAAAGCAGTTGAGTATCTTATTATATTCTAATCACAAAATTTATAGTCTAGCAGCCAAACCTGAAAAGGCTGCACCSCTGGGCTGCACCCCTGGGGTGACAGGCTGTTCTTAGTATCATTTTAAAGCTCAGGCATTGTAGATTACGATTCTGCTTGTTAACACTTGTTAACGGTGTCCGAAAGGCTTCGTAACCAGGCCTGAATTACSCATACTTCTTTTCGCTGAAATTCTATGCCTCTGCAATTTTGCAGTTTTTTCCAAATGTTTGTACAGAAAACTTCACAAACGTTTTTAATTGTCTTGAAAATACCTTTCTGCATCATTGAGAATGTTAATATCTAGACATCTAGCCCTTCATAATGTTTTGGACGAATTTAGATTTGATTGATAAAAAAAACAAATATTAAACTTAAACATCATTTATTGTTGTGTTGACACTCAAAAAGTTCGACATTTTGCTCTTAAACACACATATATTAGTTAATAAACTATTCTTGATCGACCAAATTCACAAAGGTTTTCCCAAAACAACGAAAAGTGAATTATCTAAGTTTTTATTTAAACCGGAAGTAGAATTTCATTAGTTATATTTTTCCAAACTTTTACTGACAATATCTCGATTTTTCAAGGCAAATTAAGACAGTTGAATAAACAAACCTTTTAATGCTTCTTTCATTAGCAGTGCT